CATATAACTTTATGTGATTCTCATTGGTCCATTGACATCATGAAATTGATGTCTTTAATGATTGGCCGAGACCGTGGGAAAACGTTTTTAACCCCGCATTCTGAAAATGGTTTTATCTGAATAAACATTTTTTGGCTGCCATTTTTTTTAACTCGACTCGCAAATGGAAAATGAGAAAATATTATATCGGCTGTCTCAATATGGATATGCTACTGCCACAGATGTTTATTATGTCAAGTTTAACAATAGCATCATATGAAAAATAGCATAAAACTACAAGACAAGAACGACATTAACGAATAAAATTAAGGGATAGCGGGTTAGGTGGGTGGGGTGTGTATATCAGTAACATATATATAGAATCCACAAGCGTGGTTTAAATGGTAACTTAACGAAGTAAACAACCTCACATCTGTTCGGAAAATAATCTGGAAATTAATGGGTCTCCTGACTGACAGATCTTTATCCAACCACAGCATCATAACGTGGCATATTATATGGGATGTAAATCAGACAGGAAAATAAATTTGTTGACGTCTTCTGTACAGTCTTTTTTTCAAATCAAACACTACAAATATCAGGTCGCAAAAGCATTGCAGTAAATGTGGGACTTTTTGCATCCGATAATTCGATTTAAAAAAAATCGCTACAACATAACGTTTTTAAACACACATTGTAGGGTACACGTATCTGTGTACCGTAAAACAATGTGGAAGCATCACATCGCATTTATAATTCTGTTTTGAAAAATGATTTTGTGGTTACAAAATGTTCTGTTTATTCGGATGGAAGCTGTTTCTTTGATTTATAGATTGTTAAACAGTAAATCTACTTTTAGCGATTCAGCTTTGTTTGGAAATATATTTTATTCACAACAAATGAAAGGTAGGCCTACACCGTCTCTCAGAATGAACGAAACTATTCGTTCTTCCATCTAACTAAATTAAATCCACTGAAATAAAAACTATGTGATAAAAATAATCTCAGATGGGTAACGATTTAACATTGTCCAGCCTTTGCCAAGGTTCACAAAAAATGGACATTATTCAATTTGTTTCATAAATTCAATATTAAATACCTTCCCATTTGAGATCCTCTAGATCTAACTATCTATCTATCTATCTATCTATCTATCTATCTATCTATCTATCTATCTATCTATCTATCTATCTATCTCTCTGTCTGCCTGTCTGTCTGTCTGTCTGTCTGTCTGTCTGTCTGTCTGTCTGTCTATCTATCTATCTATCTATCTATCTATCTATCTATCTATCTATCTATCTATCTATCTATCTATCTATCTATAGATCTATCTATAGATCTATCTATCTATCTATGTGTGTGTTTGTGTCTCTATATTTGTATATAAATTATTTAAATACATGTATGTATGTATGTATGTATGTATGTATGTATGTATGTATGTATGTATGTATGTATGTATGTATGTATGTATGTATGTATGTATGTATGCATGTATGCATGTATGCATGTATGCATGTATGTATGTATGTATGTATGTATGTATGTATGTATGTATGTATGTATGTATGTATGTATGCATGTATTGTTGTATGTATTGTTGTATGTATTGTATGTATTCATCTTTGTATGTTTCCTTTTATGCATCTTTGCATGTGTCTAAAAATGTCGGCATGTTCTCATGCATATTTGCATACATGTTTGTATATATGTAGGTAGGTATGTCGGTAGGTAAGTAGGGAGGGAGGGAGGTAGGTAGGTAGTTAGGTTGGTATGTATGTATGTATGTATGTATGTATGTATGTATGTATGTATGTATGTATGTATGTATGTATGTATGTATGTATGTATGTATGTATGTATGTACGTACGTAGGTACGCATGTAAGTATGTATGTATGTATGTATGGATGTATGTATGTAGGTATGTCTGTCTGTCTGTCTGTATGTATGTATGTATGTATGTATGTATGTATGTATGTATGTATGTATGTATGTATGTATGTATGTATGCATGCATGCATGCATGCATGCATGCATGCATGCATGCATGCATGCATGCATGCATGCATGCATGCATGCATGTATGTATGTATGTATGTATGTATGTATGTATGTATGTATGTATGTATGTATGTATGTATGTATGTATGTATGTATGTATGTATGTATGTATGTATGTATGTATGTACGTATGTATGTATGCATGTACGTACGTATGTACGCATGTAAGTATGTATGTATGTATGTAGGTATGTATGTCTGTCTGCCTGCCGGTATTTCTGTCTGTCTGTCTGTCTGTCTGTCTGTCTGTATGTATGTATGTATGTATGTATGTATGTATGTATGTATGTATGTATGTATGTATGTATGTATGTATGTATGTATGTATGTATGTATGTATGTATGTACGTATGTATGTATGCATGTACGTACGTATGTACGCATGTAAGTATGTATTTATGTAGGTATGTATGTCTGTCTGCCTGTCGGTATTTCTGTCTGTCTGTCTGTCTGTCTGCATGTATGTATGTATGTATGTATGTATGTATGTATGTATGTATGTATGTATGTATGTATGTATGTATGTATGTATGTATGTATGTATGTATGTATGTATGTATGTATGTATGTATGTATGTATGTATGTATGTATGTATGTATGCATGCATGCATGCATGCATGCATGCATGCATGCATGCATGCATGCATGTATGTATGTATGTATGTATGTATGTATGTATGTATGTATGTATGTATGTATGTATGTATGTATGTATGTATGTATGTATGTATGTATGTATGTATGTATGCAAGTACGTACGTATGTGATCATGTAGGTAGGTATGCATGTAGGTAGGTATGTATACATGTCTGTCTGTCCGTATGACTGTCCGTCTGTCTGTCTGTCTGTCTGTATGTATGTATGTATGTATGTATGTATGTATGTATGTATGTATGTATGTATGTATGTATGTATGTATGTATGTATGTATGTATGTATGAATGAATGTATGTGTGTATGTATGTATGTATGTATGTATGTATGTATGTATGTATGTATGTATGTATGTATGTATGTATGTATGTATGTATGTATGTATGTATGTATGTATGTATGTATGTATGTATGCATGCATGCATGCATGCATGCATGCATGCATGCATGCATGCATGCATGTATGTATGTATGTATGTATGTATGTATGTATGTATGTATGTATGTATGTATGTATGTATGTATGTATGTATGTATGTATGTATGTATGGTATTTATCCATCTTTGTTTGTATCTTTATTTGTATATTTGTATCTAAGTTTGCATGTATGTATGTATGCATGTATGTATGTATGTATGTATGTATGTATGTATGTATGTATGTATGTATGTATGTATGTATGTATGTATGTATGTATGTATGTATGTATGTATGTATGTATGTATGTATGTATGTATGTATGTATGTATGTATGTATGTATGTATGTATGTATGTATGTATGTATGTATGTATGGTATTTATCCATCTTTGTTTGTATCTTTATTTGTATATTTGTATCTAAGTTTGCATGTATGTATGTATGTATGTATGTATGTATGTATGTATGTATGTATGTATGTATGTATGTATGTATGTATGTATGTATGTATGTATGTATGTATGTATGTATGTATGTATGTATGTATGTATGTATGTATGTATGTATGTATGTATGCATGTATTGTTTTATGTGTTGTATGTATTCATCTTTGTATGTTCCTTTTATGCATCTTTGCATGTATCTAAGAATGTTCTCATGCATATTTGCATATATGTTTGTATATATGTAGGTAGGTAAGTAGGTAGGTAAGTTGGGAGCGAGGTAGGTTGGTATATATGTATGTATGTATGTATGTATGTATGTAGGTATGTAGGTATGTATGTATGTATGTATGTATGTATGTATGTATGTATGTATGTATGTATGTATGTATGTATGTATGTATGTATGTATGTATGTATGTATGTATGTATGTATGTATGTATGTATGTATGTATGTATGTATGTATGTATACTGTTATTAATTTTTAAGGTGAAAATTTTAAGAGAACACGATCGCAGTTGTAAAATCATTTGCACTTTTCTATTTAATAATTTGCACTAAACTAAAATCCAAACAGTTAGTTATTACTATATGTTATACATTTCTTGAAGCTTAAGTGCTTGCTTGCATTGACTTGTAGCGAATTCACATACATACAATTTACAAATTAAAGTGTTTTTTTATTTAAATAGAAAAATAGACAAAACGACAAGTGATCAATTAATTTGTTACGATGTCAAACCGTTTAGGAACAATATTCACATTCTATGCTATCTATTTAAATTTCACAACCACCCAAGCTTTCAAATTATAGATAGGAAACACATTTTTATCTACAAATATTGACAAGTCTGATATAAAGTACAGACATTCGGATCCTTGACTCCACACGACAAGTTTATATATCTCATCTGCTCTTTCATTTTGTGATAGTTAATCTGAAGAACTCTTGCTAGCAAGGCAAACGACATGATTAGAACTCCCTTGTGACCTTGATTAATATTTCTGTTCATCATTATTAGATTAATTTTCCCATACAAGCAGAAACTGTTTAAAATAGTTACATACTGGCACTTCGATTTCAAATAAATTGTGTAAAAATGAATATGTACCGATAAGAAAGATGAAGAAGTAGCAGCACTAATTGTAGTGGTGGTTGCAATAATAATAATAATAATAATAATAATAATAATAATAATAATAATAATAATAATAATAATAATAAGAAGAAGAAGAAGAAGAAGAAGAAGAAGAAGAAGAAGAAGAAGAAGAAGAAGAAGAAGAAGAAGAAGAAGAAGAAGAAGAAGAAGAAGAAAGAAAGAAAGAACGAAAGAAAGATTGAAATTAATTATATAAAATAAGAAAAAGAGAAATACTGGATGGGGTACGTCAGATCACCACAAGAAGGTCATATTCTGCCAATGCAAAGAGAGTAGCCGCTCCGGTGACCTAGTGGTTAGAGCGTCTGCCTCATATGCAAAAAGTCGTTGGTTCGATCCCTTGCCGAGTCATACCAAAGACTTACAAAAATGGTACTAACAGCTGCCTCGCTTGGCGTTCAGCATCACGAGTGTAGTGTTAGGACTGGTCGGCCTGGTGTCAGGATAATGTAACTGGGTGGGATATAATGACCCAGTGATAGATATCACTATAAACTACCACACTGCAGACATGGTAGCGATATGACTGTAAAATTGATAAAGCTACGTTAAAAATCCAAATCACACACACACACACACACACACACACACAAACACACACACACACACACAAACACACACACATCACTTCACATCACATCACACATGCAAAGAGAGTAACGTTTATTGTCCAGGAACAATGGGTTAATTTAAAGGAAGAATTGGTATCCATGCTCGTCCGGTCGACACGCAAGCACTCTGTCACCTCTGCTCCCCTACAAGACGGAGAACAATAAGAAGAACAACAATACACCTCTTGCAATTCATGCTGTCCATGTTTAAGATTGTGTTATATTATTATCTCTAGGGCTACAGGTAAAACGCCATCACTATTTATAAAATTAATCAGAGCAGCAAACTACTGCTTCCTCTACTACTACTACTACTACTACTACTACTACTACTACTACTACTACCACTACTACTACATGCTGGTTCTAAATGAAAACTACTCCAAAATTTACTCCTAAAAAGACATCTACTTCACCTACTACTATTATGTCTATTGTAAAATGGGCTAAGAGTTAGTCCAAATTTCGTATATTACACTCTTCAAATAATCATACATTCTGCAAAAAATCACTCGCTTTCTCGTGCTAAAATAAATGATCTTCCTAAAATTCGGTTGTTTGTTTCTGCAGCCTACACTTCTAAGCCAAGCAGTCAGTTACCTTACAGCACATTTGAGTAATTTTTGAGAACTTTACTAATGATAACAGTTTAATTAAAATATAGTCTGAGGCTGCATCATACCATTTTTGTTTCTATATGGTTATTGTTTTTCACCTCTATCTAATGCCTAAATTTCGCCCAGAGAAATAGATTGAAATTCCAATATTATGGTTTATTAGAAATAAATATAGCTACTTGCAAAAGGTTCATTTCAAAAGGATTTAAGCAGACGAACTTCTGCTAAGCAACCCAAGTTAGGTGGAGATGGGCATTCAGGGACCATAACTCCTCTAAATGATGACACGTTATATTTGAAATCCCAATCCTTCAAGAACTCACCGATGCATGTATGTATGTATATATGTATGTATGTATGTATGTATGCATGTATACATATATATATATAGGTATAGATACGAAGTTGGTTGACAAGGGCAATAACTCTGTCTGATATGGAATAAATGTGACAAATCCATAAAAGACACATCTGCGTCTGTAAAGAATGGTTATATCAAATTGCATTAGATTATGTTGAACGCACTTGAGCTATATAGCCTACAAGTAGCATCCCAAACACAGATGTAAATTTGATTGATGAGTGGGCGGAACTTTTATCGCAATGGGGCAGACAAAACAATATCCATACATGGGACATCTAGGTCTATGGATAATCACATTACTGAATTTCCTCAGAATAGTTCAAATTGTTCTTGAGTTCCAATGGAAGTAGCATTATAAGCTTCGATGTGAAGACAATAATTTGCATAATGTATATTACTCCTTACAAAACTGAGTAAGCGACACTAAACCTATGAAAAAGAGGAAGTCTATTGTCAGTATATGACTGACGTAATAAAACCCATAAAAGATAAATCTTTATATTGTTACGTATATGTAATTAAATTGCTTGTGTATTAATTATTAAATTCATTTTTTTATATTTATTTTTCATTACATAGTATCGTAATTATTATTCTCACGGGATCCGATATTTTTTAAAGCTAAATTATGTTTTTTTTATAGAAGTTAAAAGTATTACATCGACATTATATTTTAGCTAACCATAGTTCAGATACTTGATAAACACTGAATTAAAATCATTGGTCAGTATCAAGGTCATACCTCACTTGTGTGCTCACCATGCTTTATGAACATTTTTTTATTGTTAGTTCTTAAAAAAGACTATCCTGTCGTACGTGTCAAATGTCTTGTAGTGATCATGTGACCCATCACAAGCGTCGAAATGTCATTTAAGTGATGTTTAATACTCAATATCACTGTTTCCTAGTTTAGTCGTAAAAACACCTTTAGGAGCTCAGATGTTTTTTTTTTTTTTGTTGTTGCCAATTTTGAGTTATTTGCTATTTAAGAATAATTTATCTTCTTTAGAAAATAAGTGCTTCATCGTCAAAGTTTGGACAAAGATATTCAGCGGAGATCATTTGTAATTCTAAAGCCTGAATATTATTCGTGATTTACAAAGTTCAACGAGGATCTGTTACCGTCATGATGATTTCATCTGACGTCATATCCATCCTTATTGAAACTTCATCGAGATTGGAACCTGGGTTCATTTAGAACTGTTTAGTGATAGTAATTGCATTTTTCAATTCTGGCAATAATTTTTGGATTATGTTCACAAACCGTAAGTACTACTTCCTAATTTTTACATTGTTTCCTAGGGAAATAAATTATTTTTGTTTAAATTTGCAAAGTTCTTTTCTTTTGTTACATTTTACGAGCCTAAACGTAACAATATGTGAGACAACGTACACACCAAAGTACATTATAATATGTCTTATGCTGATTACCACGATCTGCCAGAGTGGAGATTTGAATGTGTTGCAAAATGGGCTAAGAGTTAGTCCAGATTTCGACTGAGAAAGACAATCTTTCAAAAGTTAAAATCGCATAATCCTGGTCTAGTCATTCATCATCATCTGAAAGAAAATAGAAATCTACCTTTCAGAACTAAATGTGTGTGTGTGTGTGTGTGAGAGAGAGAGAGAGAGAGAGAGAGAGAGAGAGAGAGAGAGAGAGAGAGAGAGAGAGAGAGAGAGAGAGAGAGAGAGAGAGAGAGAGAGATCTAAAAGCTGCAAAGTAAATTGAATAACTAGATAGATAGGATTCGAACACTTTTGGTTAGAACAGTAAGATAAGTGCTCTTTTTCATCAGTATCTCACTTTACAAACAATCGTCTAAGCTTTTTTGTATCTTCACTATAAATGATAAAGATAACCCGGTGTCCTCACCGTCACAAGATGCGATAAAATCGTGATCTTTTTTATTGTTGTTTAGTTTCTTCAGCTTGAAGAGGCTACATAGATTCAAAACCTTTGGTAAGAAATGTTTCTTTTTCAACATTAATTTAATAATTAACATTACCAGTTCATGATATTAAAATAAGCAACAGAAAAGAATGAAAGACAACAAGCTTGTTAAATTTAACAAAATTTTTTTTCTAGAATACAAAGTGAAAATGAGAAAAAGGTACTGACGATATTGCGAATTAAATCCCAAAAAAGCCAATAATTACAGACACAAGTCAGAAAAAATTAAAATCCCGAAAAAAGTCAGTACAAGACACGAAGAAATCCAAAGCTGAAGGCTATGTTATAACTTATTGAGAGCTGATGTTACAACAGTCTTTTGTTGAATCACAGTAATATAATTCCAGGTTTGAATTGATGATATAATCCAGTGAATGTCTCTATCCAAGTATTTTATTAGATCACGTTTGTATTTCCAGGGAAAATAATCTCTAGAATTAAAAAAATTCTGAAGAAAATAGATTCCAACCCAAAATTATTGGTCACAACATATAATAAAATTTGATTGTCCTAAGAGACTTAAAGCACAAAAAATAAATATAAATGCAATAAACTGACGACGAACAGTGCGAAACTAGTAACTAACTAGTCTGAGCGCTTTCAACTCTAAATGAGTCTTTTTCAAATGCAAATACAAAACATATATAAGACAAACAAATAAACACAAAAACGTTGTTTGTAAACCTCTACATGGCTGTCTCCATATGGGTTAAAACTATATATACAACCAGCTTGTATAGATTTGTTGCGGATACTAAAAATGGTGTATAATTCCCTAAAAGTCATCTATTTTTACTTTTTTGTACATTTATGTAATGCGGATTATATCCCGGATATTTGATTCTATACTGGTTATTCTTATAGTAAAAATTGAAGAATACTAAGAAGATTTAAAAAAAAGTTAAATTCTACTAGTGCCTAGTTTTATTTCTCTAGTCTTCTTGGTTTAGACCTTCAGATTTATGAAGGTGTGTACTTTTGTATAGCTTTACAGTTTCTCCGACGTACTGAAGACCACAGATCTTACATGTGATGAGATAAATCACATTCTCTGTTTTGCACGTTTTGTTTGGACCTAGTATGTTTAGTTTGTCTTTAGTCACTGTGCTAGTGAATGTCTTGGTCTCTATCATATGTTGACAGGTTTTGCATCTTTTATCTCCACAAGGTCCAGATTGACTAGGTTGGTTTTGACTAGCGATTGGCGTTAGCTTTGCCCTGACTAGTATGTCCTTTAGGTTTTTTGGTCTCCGGTAAGCTACTACAGGTTTGTTCAGAAGTATTAGGTCTAGTATGTCTGACGATTGCACGGTTGGCCAGTGGTTTGCGATGATTTTACCTACTTTGGGATTGTCTGGGCGATAGGTCAGAATAAATGGTATCCTATCAACCTTTTCTTTCTGTCCATATCTGAGTAGGTCATCACGGTTTGTTTGTTTGGCCCTTTGGATTGCCTCCGCAATCAGGTCTTTGTCGTAGCCTCGGTAAATTAAATGTTTAGCCAGCTTTTCAGACCTTTCTAGGAATCTTTCATCGTCGGAGCAAATTCTGCATATCCTCAGTGTCTGGCTATATGGAATGTTTGTAATGCAGTGTTTTTGGATGACAGCTGGATGGGAGGAGATACTGGTGTTTGTCGGTTGGTTTCGAGTAGATGTCTGTGTGTAATTTGTTTTCCACTAGTCTGGTTATTGTTGGCGATAAAAGATGCAAAACCTGTCAACATATTATATTATACAATTGTATGTATTTATATATTTCATTTAGTAAATAAGTTAGTTGACAATGTACTGCTCTGGTTATCTTCG